AATTCAAGTTTTGTGCAAAAACGCATGATCGCTCCGGCTCGCCTGGTGCGTTCCAGTCTGGGTTTTTATCTTTCGTTCATGCATCTTTCGTTTTCCAAAAATTTGCGTTTTTCATTTTTTCAGAAAGCGAGCATCTACCGAATCATTAGCGACGCGCACCGAGCGGACCCTTGCGATCATGCTTTTTTAAGCGTTTTTGCGGTGCAGCGCTACAGCGCTGTTACAGCCGGGAAAAACGCATATTGACAAAATGCACTAGCTTCCACACACACACACACACACACACACAGGTTTGTGTGCGTGTGTGGAAGCTAGTGCGTTTTGTTGCCCACTTTCATCTCAGCAGTCAGGAAAGCTGGGAGGCTGAAAATTTGGATGTATGTTCCTACCCCGTGTGTCATCCTCTCATTTTAAGATCTTTCCCCATATGCGCCAAGACCCCGCGTACGGGACCCCCAGAGGAATATGTTGGCGGGAAACGACCACGCAAACCAGGCAAGGTAGAAAGCTGAAACTTTGAGAAGATATTCTCTGTGCACATGCGAGTTAAAGATTTTAAACTCAGCTGTCGAGCCCACAACCACAGCCTCAAGCAGCTCCTCAACTCAAAAATCGTTCGCAACTCGGACCTGAATCGCAATAGTTTTTGTAAATGAACATGGATTTTTTGACAAACGACCGTTCGTGCAATGCTTACAATTATTAATGCGCATCTGGGAGCTGAATTTGATATCTTTAACTTTTACGGGGTGGGAGCATACCATTAAAATTTAAACCCCTAGCTTTCCTGTTCCCCAAGTTTGCCATTTTTCTGTCAAAAGGTTTTCCGGAGCTGTACGTAAGAGCCACGCATGCCTGGCAACTGAGTTTAGCAACTGAGTTTATGTTGTACATGTGCTGGGAACGTTCCCTGAAATCTCAGCCTCCTAGCTTTCCTAGTTCCCCAGTTAGTCATTTTCCGGCTAAAGAATTTTGCGGGGCCGTACGTGAAAACCACACATGCCTGGGGACTGAATTCGACAAATTTATGTTGTAAATTTGCTGGGAACATTCCCTGAAAATTTCAGCCTTTCAACTTTCCTGGTTCCAAAGTTAGCGATTTTCCCGCCGGGAACCCTCACGGAGCTGTGAGCGGGTACCATGCACAACTGGGGGCTGATTTTGAAAACTTTGAGTTCTATGTGGATGGGGAACCTAACCCCAGAATTTTAACTTAACTGAGTCCCCAGTTAGCGATTTTCGCGCCAAAATTCTTCACCTCCTCGTACGCGGGACTCAGACTTGCGTGAGTGTTGGTACCGCGGTCCTGGTATAGCACTTGGTCAGGAAACTCGCTGGGAAAATTTTGGAGCCGGAGCTTGCTTAGGCGCCGAGTTACCCGGACAGACAAACAGATAGACAGACAGACAAACACACACATACAAACACCCGGGGGAGGGGGAGGTCGTCACAATATGTGTTTTTGCATTTGCATATGAGCAAAAACGCATAACTAGAATTATAACAAATTTTCAACGTTATTTCATGCACTAATTGCACCAAAAGCTGCGCCACCCCCAAAAGGGACTCTTTTTCACTGAATGAACAAGCGGCAGTGTTGGAATTATTGGTGAATTTAAATGTTTAGAACGGAAGAACAAAAGAATTCATATCGATCAAATGGCGATCACGGTTTCGACAATCGATTCGAAAGCATGCGAGCTATTTTCATCGCTATCGGGCCGGATATTGCCGAAAAGACCGAAATCGATGCTTTTCAAAATATTGAACTGTATAACATGTTCGCATGTAAGTCTGCTGTTGTGCATACTTTAAGATTCGATAGCAATGATTCGACTCTCCAGTGAGACAACCAATCCTTCTTCGGCTCTTTGACTCTTTTGAATGATACAATGATATTAACAGATGGCAGGGAGAAATCCTCAAAATAGCAGCTATTAGTGGCACCACCACCGATTAATTACTGCTGGCACTTGCTACCACTCAAGCTGATTCTGGCTGCCTCTGCCTTTTATAAAGAGAGTGAATGCGGAGAGGATTTATACTTTTCTCTTGATACTGGTTGACAACACCCTTTTCCTGCAAAGAACCTTCCAAAAAAACGGTAATTGATAAAAGCAAGTAGTGTGGTTGGAAGGGCGCCGCATTCACCCGACAATCTCCGGCCTCCTTGATGTCTCTGTCTTGTATACTCCAAATTAGAGTGGATTTCGATTCCGATGTTATTAGATCAGAACATTATTTGGGTAGAAAACTAATCTTCTTTTACTGTATACCTCAAATTATGAAACAAGTGAACTGCCAAAATTTATTATTCGTTGTCTACCTGGTTTTTGTTGCAAAATCAGCTCGAACTTTTAGACCAAAATCGTAACAAAAATTAATCATACAGAAGCCCACTCAAATTTTTTGATTTCTAGCTATTTTACAAGTTAATTTTCCGAAAATTCTGAGCTCAAGTTTTTCAAATCTTCGAGTTGGCCAAAACTGGGCCGGCGTCAGAAGTCAGGATGGAGATACATGCTAATTTCGAATTTGTAGCATCGTAAAGAGACGGAGATTATTGTGAAAAATTTAAGCCTCCTAGCTTTTGAACAGGCTAAAACAACGGCCCTATACTGAATTATGAAAACCCTTGACCGGTCGTGACGCTATTTGTCTTCAGTGCAAGTTTATGTTTGATTGCCAGCAATACATATAGATCTACTGCGAGTGGATGCGGCACCGAACAACGGCACCAATGGTACACTGTTCAGCATACTGCGCAGTCCACCGCCTCTGCTTGAAACTGCTACACTTCAAAGTCCCCCGCACTGCACCGATATGATGCAAATCAGGAAGTGCGACGAGAGCTCCAGTTGTAAGGTACGCGCCAATTTTTCTTAAAGACAGGCATTAGTTGATTCTCTTCAACTAAATCTATCGCTTTTTGACGCAGATTTGTTAAATTTGGCTTAAGTGAATCCGGACTACTGGCAAGGAGTATGACAGTCAAAAATACGGAATAAACGATGGAGAAGAGGGAATGGAAAAAGAAGTTCAACTGTACTCCTCCTTTTATAGAGCGTCTGCTGGAACGCATTTTTTCTTTGGAAAATTAGTGGTAGTCCAACTTTTTTTACACTGTATTTTATATTACCGCCATTATTTAACGAATGGTTATAAATGCGTTAATAGCGATTCATTTAACTGTTCCTTTAAAAAAAAATACCAGACGTCAATACTGGAATCACAAACCGTCTGGAAAACTTAGGCCGCCCCAAGAATTTATCAGTTTTAGGTTCAACCCCTCGGAACAGTTTGATGCAGTAGGATTTTTACAATGCAATGCGCGAGGGACGATGACGTGGGGTCGGGAGTGCCTGTGTGCGGAAGCGCTGATCCACCCAAACCAACAATTCTTTATCAAAAAAACACACACAAACAACAAACCGACAATAGTGATTCAAGTGGAATTCGGCAGCAGCTTCAACCTACGGCCGCACGGCATTCACATGTGCCAAAGTGGGGAAGGGACTTGAAGCAGCTACAGACTGTTACCACACAACAAAGTGGAGCACAAAAACAATAATCACTTCTTATTTCTAATCACATCGTTTACATATCACGTAGGAGAAATTGAGTCGTTAGGCGGGACACTTGCATTTCACTTGAAATCGAAGGCAACTGGGCAGGGCGAAGGAGTACAGCCGCCAGCTTCATTATGCGTTTTTGCATATATGCAAATGTAACCCAGGCTGTAACGCATCGGACAGCCCGTGCGATCATGCATTTCTGCACCAGATTTGAAGTACTCAAGTCATTAACTGCATGAATGGTTGTTGCTGTAGACTTACCTTTTGCGGCCACTAACATAAATCACATAAATTTTGCATAAAGTAAATGTAAAATTTCTACTTAACGATCGTTCCTTAAAAATAACTTAGCTGATCAGTGAGAAATTTTTCCGCCAAAACTTTTAAGTGCCCGTACATAAGAACAATACATAACTCAAGGCTGAATTTGAAACACTTAAATCGTACTTGGACAGAGAACATTCCCCTAAAATCTCAGTTTTCTAGCTTTTTGGTTCATGAGTTAATAATTTTACCGTAGAAACTTTCATACGTCCTTATGTGAGTACCACGCAGAGCTGGGGGCTGAATTTGAAATATTTGAGTTGAACTTGGACAGGGAACATCCTGCTAAAATTTCAGCCTTGAAGCTTTTCTGGTTGCCGAGTTAACAATTCTTCCGCCAAATCTTTCACATGCTCGTACACAAGAATCACGCATATCTGAGATGAATATGAAATATTTAAGTTGTACTTGGACGGAGGACATTCCCCAAAATTTCAGTTTTCTAGCTTTCCTGGTCCCCGAGCTAGCAATTTTCCCACCAAAACTTTCATACGCCTTTACGTAAGTACCACGCATACTGGTGGCTGAATTAGAAATTTTTACCCAACACATGCACAGAGAACATCCCTACAAAGTTTCAGCCTCCTACCTTGTCTGGTTTTCAAGATCCCTTTCCCGCCAAAAGATTTGCATATTTTTTTAAAGCATCCGTACGCGGCATCTAGGTGTCCGCGTTGGATGACTTCAAAACGGAAGGATCGCGCATGGTTTTGGCACATACTCCCAAAGTTTTAGCCTTCTAGCTCTTCTGGTTATTTCATCTCCCTCGGACGACTGGGTGGCGCGCACGGACGCTTTAAAAAAAATATGCAAATTTTCTGGCGGAAAGTGGTCTCGGGAACCGCACAAGCTAAGGGGCAGAAACTTTCTAGGGAAAGCCCCTGTTCATGCACTAGCTAGAAGTTTCAAATTCAGCCTCCAGGTATGCATGGACTCACGTAAGAGCGTATGAAAGTCTTAGGGGGAAAATTGCTAACTCGAGTACCGAGAAAGCTGGAAGAAGAGAATGTTCCCTATCCAAGTACAACTCAAATATTTCAAATACAGCCCTAAGCTATGCATGGTACTCGCGTAAGGGCGTATTAAAGTTTCTGCAGGAAAATTTCTAACTTGACAACCGGAAGAGCTAGAAGGCTGAAATTTTAAGGGGATGTTCCCTGTCCACGTGCAATTTAAAAATTTTAAACCCGGCTTTCCAGGCGCGTAGAGTACCCACGTACGGGTATGTGAAGGTTTTGGCAGGAAAATTGCTAACTCGGTAAGCAGAAAAGCTGGAAAGCTGAAATTTTAAGGGAATGTTCCTTGTCCAAGTACAACTTAAGTATTTCAGATTCCGCTTGAGATATGCGTGATTCTTAAACACAGGCACTTAAAAGTCTTGGCGGAAGAATTTCTCACTGAACAACCGGGTTATTTTTAAAAAACGATCATTAAATGGAAATTACAGCATGAAAGGAGTGGAAAAAATTTTTTTAAAAATAAAAAATCAAACGATGGAAGGAGTAGAAAAAGATTTTTTAAAAATAAGATAATAAAGTAGCATAAGTAATAAAGACGCATAAGAAATTTACTATGTAATATATGAGTGTATTTGATTCAATAATTTGGTAATATTGGTAGTGTTAGGGTAAAAATATTTAGCAAAATGAAATCTGTAGCAAGAAAAAAATGAGCGGCAAATCTTGTATAATTTATATTGATGTAGTCCTCGAGTCATATATTTATAGTATACTGGTGATATCTCTTATAAACTCATCAAGACTTGTTTCTATATGTACAAATCGTAATAACTGACTATAAATGATATTATTATGTAGACGAGGATGAACGTTACTGTTTGAATAGGAGTATCTATTCACAGTGAAGTTGAAATTGTTATTTTTATTGTAGAGAGTAGTATTAATACCTGCTCTATTTGAGAGACTAAAGGCGATAACTAAAAAATCTACTAAATTACCGCTACCTGTTATTTCCAATTTTAATTACTCAAGGACCAGAAAAAAAGATCGAAACCAGGACCAGAAAAGATAATCATTGGCGACGCGCACTGGGGGGCCCCGTGCGATATGCGTTTTCGGAGTGCTTCGTGCTGTAATAAGATTACTGGAAATTTCCGCTAGCTAGAAACCTCTTGTATATACTGGTCCTCGAATTTCGGGAACTTAATTATCCGCGCTATAGCAAAACAGGGAACATTTCCTTGAAATCCCATGTTCCCGATTTACCAGAATTGCTGCTAAAAAATTTCAGGGCCATGCGTAGCCACCACGCATAACGGGGGGCTAAATTTGACAAATTCAAGTTTTAGATGAGTTGAGAACATTTCCTGAAGTTTCAGCTTCCAGCTTTCCTGGTTCCGGAGTTATTCATTTTCCCGCCGAAAATTTTCACGAGGCCGCACATGGCAAGCACGAGTGGCGGGGGGGCTGAATTTGACAAATTGAAGTTGTAGATGAGTTGGGAACATTTCCTGAAAATTTCAACGTCCCAGCTTTCTTGGTTCCCGAACTAGCGATTTTCGCGCCAGGAACCCTCGGGGGCCGTACGCGGGGACCACGAACCCCCGGGGTCTGAATTTGAAATCTTTGAGTTAATAATTGGACTGGAAACATAATCCCAAAATTTCAGCTTTCTAGTTTTTCTGGTTCTCGAGTTAGCGATTTT